CTGCACAGCAAGATGAAGGGGCTCTAGGTTCTTTGGTCTGGACCTTATAGGAGACAAAGCTATAGAGATATAGAAGAACTTTTTGTCTTTTCCCTTCAACTGTCTTGTTCGGGTCTATGATATTCTAAGTGTATCTAAATATTTAGCAGTCATAGTTTTGATGGTTCTTCAGCAGTATCAGAAATCTGAGCAGCTACAGTCTGAGTTGGTGGTCATTTTTCTGAAAAAGTTGTTGGATGCTGAGGAAAACATGTAGGCATTGCTGTGGTTTAGATACCTGATTTTAAGTCTAGTGCCCAGTTGAGGTGGAAATTAATGGCTGTGGAGCATTCTGTGTGTTGCGAGAGATTACCGAAAATTGTCCCAGATTAGGAAGATTTAGGAAGAGGAATTAGGGAATTGTGACTGGCCGATTTTTTACTGGAGTAGCATAGCTGCAGTCTATGGTGTATTTACAGTTCAGAGCAATGGTTTATTCTAGATTTAAAAAATTCATAAGCTCAAAGTTTGATGTACAGTAAGGTAGTTTCTAGAGAAGTATGTTACCTTATATAATCTTTTCCTCTTCATTAGGAATGTACTCTAATGTACTAGAGGAATCAAAATCTGCTTAGAATTTTTTCCTATATCTAGTGTTCATTTATTCTTTATTAACTTCCAGTATCATTGTCATCTAGTATTTATGTGGCATGGGTGTTTTCTGGATACTGCTTCTCTATATTAGATGCCCATGAAGTTCTTCACTTTGTAACTGTGGAATAGAATAGAACGTTTCCTTTCTTTTCTTACTTTTTCTTTAAACTATTCAAGATGTGCTTGCATTTTAGTTCTAAGTTGAAGACAGCTTAGCTCCACTTTGAATTATTTTTTTGTCCATAGATGAAGCTGCTGGATGTTTTATGACCATTGCTGACTGGCTATAACCATAGGAACACAAACAGAAATTTAGATTTGTTATCTGAAAAAGTGTCATTAACCAGCCATTTTAATGTTTAGCCAAGATTAAGCATCTTTGTAAAGCATTAGCTATCTACGCAGCTTTTCAGCCTGCTTTTTTCCCTCTTAACTGTTACGAGCTCAGAACATAATTTCTGTAACCCAAATGTTGTGTTGGCACTACTTCAGTGTGCTCTGGGCTTGGGTGCTTTAGAACTTACTCAAAGACTGGCTTTCCAGTTATGCAAAGTTTGTAAAATTACAAACAGCATAGTATTCTATAATAACTAGTCTGAGATGACTGTAATGCCTAGTTCAGTGGTTAAAGAACTAGTTACTAGCTCACTGTAAGATAATGGATACCCAGCTTCAAAATCAACTTTAACAATGTGGCAAATCAGAAAGCTGTGGATTTTATCGTACTGCTTTGGGGCAGTTACACTGCCAAAGAAAGAATACTTCTGCATATATTTTAGGACCTGAATATGATTAATGTGTGATAGTAAGAGCAATTCTACTGCTCAGACTCCTGCAGCATACATTTCAGATTTTGAGGACATATATCTTAAACAGTAAAGTTTTATTTATTTTACTCTGCCTAATTAATTTTGTCGTCTTATAGCTTTAAATTGAAACAGTGTAGCAGAACACATTAAACTGATTCCTCATGATAAAAAATAATGTAGGCTCAACTATGCATATCAGCTACTAGTAAGTTATGCAGATATTTTATATCCTATAGTAATGGCATGCGGTATTTTGTGCTGATCATATGCTGTTCCCATGTACTTTTCTATTTCTCATACATAATTTTTACTTATCCTAATCTTTTATTTTGTTCAAAAGCATTTTAGAAACAGAGCCATGTGGAAAAAATACCAGAGCAAGCATAATCAAAAAATATACTGAATCGAGGATTGTATTTGATATATTTGCTGTTTAAAAAAACAAAAACAAACAAAAAACCCCAAACCCCACAACCAAAAAACCCCCCACCCAAGCAAACAAAAAATGGGTAATGTGTTCTTGTATTTATTTCCACTATTGAACTCCTCCTGTAACTTTAATGCCAGCCTAAAAGAAAACTACTCAGAGAGGCTTTTTAACTGTAGCATTTTCTTTCATTTCCATAGGCAGTTGTCAGTCTCTTGTGGAAGAAAGAGGGGCTATGACACAGCTTTCTTTTATTTCCTTCTCTTCAAGATTTTGTATATCACAGGCACCAGATGTTTTCTTTTGCAGCTTTACCGTGTTCTACTTTTCAGTGTGGCATTAGACAGAAACTGAAATGGGAAGTTGTGAGAGGGAAGGGTGATGAAAGAAGCAGTTAGGATTGGCATAAAATTGAACTTCTTACAGAGATTAAATGTAAATTAATTTATCATTTACTCAGCATTAGATCGGAAACCATTTTATATTTTAACAGCACAAAGTCATATTACACCACCAAAATTTCTGCCAAATACCACATCTATAGATGAAGTTCTGAAAGTAATATTTTCTAATATTCATGTTGGTTTTATGCTGATTAGGTCTGTGCTTACAATTATGCAGCATGGACCCATGGAAGAGAACTTAGAGTGACAGAGAGCATCTGATGTATATTTGAATAAGTGATTTAGAAAGACAATGCGCTTTACTCTAAAATTCTTGAGGAACTTTAGTAAATAATAGACAACTCAATAGCTAAATCCATTATATTCTTTAAGAAGTAGAAACAAGTTTAAACTGCAACATGCAAATTCAATTTGTTTTTTCTTTTTATTAATCTGTCACTAACTTTGACAGAAATATCCCTACTGTTTTTAGCACTGTCATGTTGCTTATTATTGGTTAGCTGTGGCAGTGTGTTGTGTTTTTCAGAAAATTAACCTTTCTTAAAACTCTACAATAAAATACCGGTGATTTATATTATAATCCCAAGCCTATTGAGGTAGGTCTCACATAGGCATGTTTCTTCTGACTGTCGTGTAGTGTATTTCTTGTTCTCAAGTGAACTTAATTTGGGGATTTAAACATGGTGCCAGAAACCTGCCAAGAGACAGCTGTAGTGCTGTTATGGTCTCTTTGAGCTGGGAAAAAGGTGTTGTTTCTTAGAAGTCTTGTCATTTTGTTAAAGGTATGTCTAAAGGGGGAGAGCCTTAGGTGTATAGTTTATTAGAACTGTGTCTATATATTATAAAAAATATTTGAAAATATTTAAGGAAGATGCAGGCTAAGGTCTCAAAGTCTCTGGCATTGCAAAATAGTAACTCCTATTGTTGGTTCAACCTGGAGAAGCTCAGCTATTCATCTTCCAGTCAGTGCTTTGTGCAATATAAAAATGATTGTACTAAAAAGAAATAAATTTTAAAAGGATGGCTTTTGATTTTTTTTTTTTTTTTCTGAAGCTGGTCTGTTTTCTGGTTATAAGGTCTTGTTGGGGATTCTTTTAGCTTTACAGTATGCACAGTCTTCACAAATTCTATTTCTAACATTAAAAACTGAGTAGAAAAGACAAATACTGTAAAAAGACAATCAGTTAGGCTAATCTATCTCTTTGTGCCTTAACGGGCTGATGCAAACACTTGAAGACAACTACAGGATAAATCTGTTTTTCAGATAGAGGAATTCATGCTTGTCTTTTTAAAAAATTATTTGTGAGCTTGATGTAGATTCTTTTAAAAAGAAAAGATTTTTATTTTATTTAGTTGTGCATACTTTTAGTTTTCTAGGCAAGTTTAAGTTACTTTTTTAGTAATAATAGATCAGCTTTTCTGTTATGTACTGTACCTGCAAACTTGTATATTAAGTGTCTGGTAAGAATTTTTAATACCATGGCAACACTTATTGATTAGAGATTCATTGTTGATTTTTCAGTGTAAATAAGTAGCGAAACAAACAGTGGTAGGACAAAGAAACCAGTCATAGAAGCAAATATAAAATTACCTACTTTCTTTAGCATAATAAAATCAGTGCAAGAAATGTATTCTATAACTTTTTTTTTTCCACTGAAAGTTCTAACATGGAAGCTACAGAGACATTTTCAGTGATCCTTTTGGGCACTGAATAATATTCTCTTCATTTGCCAAAATAGGATTAGTGAGTAGATCTCATTAGGAATTTGCACATGACTTTATTTTTATATAGATAAAAGGGAGCAAATTCCTCAAAGTCAAAGAAAGTCGGAAAAATAATATCTAAGAATCCAAGCAGGTAGAAAGCATTACTGCAAGGATATTTTTTTCAATGCCTGCCAGGCAAAATTAACTTGCCTTCTTTCTTAAAAGAATGTATGCTAAGTATCAGAATCAGGAAAGCTTCTGATAACTTAATGAATAAGATCCACAGCAAAAGATAATTAAACACTGAAACAATTTAAAAATATATTTTTTATCTGAGAACAGTCTTAACAAAATAAAATACATAATGGTGGTAAAGATTGTTTCATTTTCATTAAAAGTTACTCATAAACTTATTTGTTGTTAATCTTTTGTAGAAAGAAGTCTCATTATTAAAAAAGATAAAATGTAATGTTTTTGTTATGTACAAAGCTATTTGTAAAGGCATCCTTTATTCTTCGTGGCATATTTATGACCTGACCTTCTACCCCCATCAAACTTTAATCCTTAGAAACATTATAGTCCAGGTTTTCAAAAATAGAAGTTCACAACATACATTAGTCATCACCTTCGCCTTCTGCTTCCTTTGAAATTAATGCTACGTAAAGCACCCATTAAAATTGCACCCAAACTCACTGAATGTATAAGGATTGTTGGATAATCTCCCTCTGTTATAACAGCAATTTTTTTGCATAGTGCTCAGAACACATAGGAGTATTAGTGAGCAGATGATAAAAAAGAAAAAAATTTGCAGGCCTGAATAATTGCTTTTCCATTGTATAATCTGATGGTATTAAAGCTGTTTCGATATGCCAGCTTTAAAACAAGATGAAGTTTTATTTTGTACATCTTGGAATACATGTGTCTGCTGGAGAATCAGTGTCATAGTCACAAGTTAATTTATAGAGAGAAAGAAGCGGTTGCAGTCATTAACACTAATGCATATGTGTATACAATTCTTAGACATATGAAGGACCAAAACAAGAAGGTTGCCAATCTGAAGCACAATCAGCAAATGGAGAAAAAGAAGAATGCACAGTTGTTGGAAGAAGTTCGTCGACGAGAGGACAATATGACTGACAACTCTCAACATTTACAAGTGAGTTTATTTTTCAATTGTGTGTTTAAACCATCAAAGAAAGTACACTTCTGTTTCACTGTGTGTCTTGCCGGATGTATTTCACTGTGTGTCTTCCCACGGAGAGCTGACTGCTCTCTCCTTTCCTACCAGAAGATGCACTACCAATTTCAGTTGCACCCATGAAATATTTAATATTTAGGGTAAGGAAAGAACAACGGAATTTGAAGCCTTCTCACAAAGACCGTATTTTACTTATTTAAAAGCAAGTAAGTCATTATAGCTTGTTTTGAGGAGAGTCAGAAAATAGAAAAGTAATTATGCTTTCTGTATTCTATTTCTGTGCTATTCACAGCATTATATCCACCTGAGGTGAGGTTATATAGTGTGGTTATGAATGTTCAGCATGTTTGAATATGAAATAGTAGCCTGCTGAGGGTGGTTTTTTTTTTTTCTTTTTAACTGGGCAGACATCCGTGTGATTATCTCTGTAAAATACAATCTAATTTTTCAAGAGCATTCGATTCTATAACAGAATTTCTGCCATATTTTCCAGTGTGGAGATTGAATGCAACATTTGAGGCCTATGAGCCCCTTCCTGTTCTATGTTTCTAGATGTAGCTCTCACTTTAATTCCACTGTCTGGTTGTGCATTTTTGTATCAGCAGGGATATCATCATCTGGTTGCATACTCAGGTCATTTAATGAGAGTGATTTGATCTTATTAACTCTGTATGTGCAATTTAGAATCCTCACTCATCATTTTTATCTGGTGTACTTAGATGTAACACAGAGGAGCACCGCTATAGCTGTCTTTCGACAGATCTCTTAGAATCGTTACTGCACAGTTACTACATCAACAACTTATTTCTTACAGTTGGAAAGAAAAGATTCTGCTATATCTTTTTCATTTAAGATAGATGTTGAACCTTACTCTAGGAGAATTTCTAGAGTTTTTAAATTATTGAGTTCAGGCATTGAGATTTGAAAGATAGTTAGCTGATCTGGTTAAATGATATGTTACATTCTAGGGAATTTGTATTAAAGACCACAAAACATGTTTGATGCTTGACTTAAAAAATTGTTCTCTGAGATCTGACCATGAAAAACTATGAAGAGAAGTACTGATTTCTGTCAACATCATCAATGTCTCCATACCCAGTGTTTACAGGCAAGTCTAATTTACAGTGCAAAATACCAATTTTGCTTGATCTGGTTAATGTTACGGGTTTCTGGAAAACTTCTAATAGATGGAATTTGACCCTCACATGCTTCATAGGGTACTGTATTTCTCATGTGCTCCTATATGCAAAATAGAGAAATTAACACCACCTCTCTTCAGGCTTGTGTTGGTGAAACCGTATGTCAGAATCAAATTTGGGGAATGATACATTATTTATGCATCTGTGTAGTGTTATATATACTTTATAACCTTGGTCATTACATACCGATTGCATCACCATGCATTCTACCGCATGTGATATAGTAAGAAAACCTTGAGAAGTATTTGGTCTGACAGTATGATATAAAAAAATTAAATTTCAGTGTTGAGCAGCTACTTGTATTTAATGTGGTTCAGTAAAGAGAAAATATTGGAGCTTTAATTTTTCAGCATTATTTTGGAAATCTATCAGAGTGGTGTGATCACTAGAGAACAGAAGTCTTTCGTAAGGTCTTTATGTAAGGTCTTTATGTAACTGCTGTACTTGGAGCTTTCAAGTCGTGTGATGAAAATGGATCTGCCAAATGGTAGCAGCATGGCTGAATAGCCTGAATTTAGAAAGAAAAAAGCCTTGTCTGGGTGTATAGCTCCTCTACGCCATTCCCTTGCAATAAAGCATTTAGATGCTAAGAACAGTTTATGAAAACCAGTTAACTAAGAACTGTTATTTCTCTGTTATAACTGTTATCTCTCTGTTATTACCATGCCTTAAAATGTTAATATTTTAATATTGTTTACTTCAACATATTACTTTCAGTAATGTATGTGTGTATGTGTTGTGGCCCATCCTACACTTGCTGAGCTGCTGGGAAAGTGAAAAAGAGAGGATTCCAGCTGCTTCTGCCTATCGGGAGGTGCTTTGCATTCCCAACTCTTCCTCCAGTAGCTGCAGGAACAGGAGGAAGCAAGTGTTGGTTGTCTGCACTGCTGGCACGCTGGAACAGCTAATCCTGCCTTCTCTGGCAGAAGCAAAACAGGCAATCTCTTGCTTTCAACAGTTTGCTACCATAACTAGTTATTATATTTCCTGTGTCTAAAACGCGTCCTCATTTCTTCCCATGCCTTTCTTAATGTCTACCGTTGTGTTCATGCAGAGATGGATGTGTTCTCTGTTTGCAGTTTGCTTTTGTGAATTAGACTGGCTGTCACTGCATGGATCACAAATCCAGGCAAATCCACCTGAATGAAAATGGCTTGTTTGACTTTACAGATTGAGCCATAAAATACCTGGGGATGTGCAGTTGCAGATAGAAGTTTGCCTCTACATCGCTGTGATAGGTTCAAGCAAATACCTAAGGAAACAAAGTGAATTCAGAGGGATGGAGAAAAACTGTCAAACTTGATAAATATCTGGCAGCTTTTTCCTTCCCCAGCAAATGAAGATGCAGAGTTACTTTGTTCTAGCAGGAGACAGATGCCTTCAAAGGACCCTTTCCAAAATGGGCTTGATAACATGTGTCCTTGTAGGATTGCTTCTTTCCTAAGATTAAGGAAGATGGGGTAGTGGTAGTATATGGGGCTTTTTTTTCCTGTTCTTGTGAAGTAAAGGAATTGTTATTCTCTATGGAAGTTCCTTAGGGTTTGCTTCAGAAAATTAATCACAAAATTAATTGTTTCAGTAAAAGCTGATGATACTGCTTCTAAATCTAATGGAAACATGTCCCTGCCTCACATATTGGCAACTTGAGGTTTCCTTATCATTGCAAGATGCAGGGAGCTTTTAATTGTTCTGCATAAACACCATAGTGAACCTTGCAAGTAAAGCAAATAGTTTGACATTGAATAGTGGAGGCAACATGACTCTGATGTGCATTTATTCTGCTGATAGGAGAGTATTTTGATTAAAAGTTTTTCACTGGTATGGTTTATTTGTTTTATATGTGTAAGGTAGTTACAAGTATTAGGTGAGAGCATCAAGTCATATTCTTATACAAATCTGGTAAGTAGGTGGTTAAAAAGCCAAACAAACTCTAAAGCTCTATTCAGTTAACCTTGTTGTAGAAAGGAAATTTTTTCACAAAAGTTACTTAAAAAACTCTTCTTCCTCCATGGAGTTGTTTAAAGAGCAAGTATGTCAAAAAATGTAAGGTTTTCTTCTTAAAAAATTTGATCAAGAGTACTGGTGGATGCAGTTATGATTTTGATTGAGCTGTATGGCTTGTCATTTCAGGGTGATTTTGATTTGAGGCTTTTGTACCTGGTGACATAAAACTATTTAATGTATTTGGCATAAGATAAATGTTTACTCCTGTAATATTTAGCTGCAAATGCCTGGGTGCAGGGATGGAACACAGGCACTTTCTGCAGGTCCGAGTATGTAGCTACATTGTGAGTGTTATAGATTTGAACTCGTTTATGCATCTGTTCAAAAAGATACATATAATGCAGTATGTAAAGGTCAATTAATTTTATTTCCTACCAACCCAAGGGTACAATGCTTTCCCTAGGAAGCAGAATATAAACTGAGGTTCTTCTAGTGATGTGAACAAATACAGAATTCAAACTGGGATATGAGTGTTGACTAACTGAATAATCTGACAGAGTAGAATATTTGATCACTCTTGATACTACATTTCACTTTATAAATAATATATAGAGCTAATAACATGTTGTAACAGTAGTGATCTAAGGATTTAAGTGAGGCAGGATTTGTGGGGAGACTCATGATGTGAGGTATATGATATATTTGAAAAACAAGTTTCTGGGAGTTCTATGCATCTGCTAAATAAATTTAAAATTAATTGGTATTTTAATAAATACAGAATTAACATCTTAGTAAACCATAGGAATCTGACCACCTTCTGTTACTGTTTATAATACCTTCTACTATGTTTAGTAGAAACGGCCTATGTTTATAGGCATTTATAACTCATAGTGCTAGTATCTGTAGCGTGCCTGTTACATTTGTGAATGATGTATTGAGCTGTTAGAATAAAGTATACCCTAAAATTCTCTGGCCTGATGTAATGATTGTGTTTGGCTAGCTGTGATAAACTCACCTGAGAGCCGAAGAGCAAGTAGACTAGTCAAATTACATTAAATCCAGCCAAGCCTCAATCCCTTTTGCAGAAGTACTGGAAAAGATGTGTTAAGAAAGCTGGAGTAATTGTCCATGGAGCATTCAGGGAGTCATACAGGGCAAAGTGAAGCAATCAGTTGAAGTGCCGTCCATTTTATACAGCTCAAGTAGGGGCTGAAGCTCCAGCCATTCAGCTGTCCACTTGCTTTCTGGTAGGTTTGAAGAAGTTCAGAAGTCTTGTAGGTTCTTTGAAGCTTCAGTAGTATGTAATAGTTGCTGAGGCCTGTAGTATCATGTATATTTGTGACACTTTTCACTATCTTTTCAGATAAAAGCCTCTCAAAGCTGGTTCATATCCTAGCATCAGTGCTTGCAGGTCAAGTTTGAGCCTCTGGAGGCCCCATCTCACGGCACTCCAGGGCCACTGCTGTGATGGAGAGTGCCCAGGGATGCCTGGGGAGGGAATTCATTTTGGTCTCCCTCAGCTATCAGCTATAATTGTGAGTGATGCTTCAGGTGTGGTTTTGGGGGGTTATTTGGATCGCTGTAAAATTGGAAACATCAGGGAGCCAGACTTCAGATTAATTCTTGGGAATGAAGAATAGTTGTGAGGTTTTCTGCTTTTTCCTTCCACAAATCAAGGGCAGACCTGTGCAAATGTTGCCAAACGTGATGGTGATATATTACATAAAGCATCACAGCAGGAGAGCTGGTCCTTGAACACTTTATCATGAAATTTTTGAGAACATGCTTTCATTTTTCTCTCTTCTTTTTTGTCTG